AATAATATAATAATAATAATAAATAAATAAATATAAATAAATATAAATATAAATATATATATATATATATATATTAGAACGCAGAGGGAGCCTTGCCCGTGCCTGAGTTTCGAGAGACCTGGCGCCGGCTTCCTCTCCTCACCCTGCGGCGTTGGGGGTAACCCTCTTGCCGGCCTGTTGGGTCCTCAGTCTGTTTTTTTAATGTTTTTTGGCTTTTTGCTTCTTGTTTGTGTTTGTTGTTGTTGTTGTGGTTGTGGTTGTCGTGATCGTGGTCGCGGTCGTGGTCGTTGTTGTCGTCGTTGTCGTTGTTGTTGTTCGGCGAAGGTTCAGGTTCTACCCCCGACGTACTTGCGTATCCTCTCTGAGGATGCAAATGCTGCGGTCTTTGACTACTGTATCGATAGTACTCTCAAGTAGGTTTCCAGACGAGTTGATGGAAAGACGGAGTATGCCGTACTGACGTTCATCAACAACCGTTGATGCACGTTGAAGACAAATACTCCAAACTCACTTGCGTTTGTGTGCTCAGCATTTGTAGTGTCCGCAGGTAGGTTCACATCTGAGCACACATGTGGGTGCATTGTACTAGGAACGTGAAAGATCAGCTGCTTCTCCGGGCATGTGCTGACGTTCCATTTTTATCCGTGCGTGCACGCAGACATTTGTGACAAGCGGTGTGCAGTAGGCACATGGCCAGCATCCCAAGTTGTGCACGAGAACAGTTTGGACTTCCTGGCAAAATGAAGCAGTCCAGCTATTCCATGCTGTTGCTGTAGCTGTTTTTGATGTTGAAATTGCTCGTGGCGCTGTTGTTGTAGGTGCTGGCGCCGTAAGTGGCCTTGATCCTCCCCTTCTCGAGGCCCAATACCGCAGCAGCTGCCGCAGCTGCCGGCGCGGGGGTGCAGGAACTGGAATCCCTCCTGGCCGAGGAAAGCTTGGGGCTTCAAGGGTTCTTGGTCAGGGACTAATGGCATTATGGTGCAGGGGCCATCGGGGTGCTGGATTTATTGGGAAGCGTTACATTGTTTGTCGCGCATGAAAGCTGGAAGAGAGAGATTTACAACAAATCAAGCTGATTTACAGCCAGCCTCATCCCAACAATCGACGCTCCAGCTCAGCCCCCCCAGCTTGCGCCCAGAACATGCTGCAGCGCCAGCAGCTGGAGTCGAGCCCTCGCGATTCTGACCTTAGGATGGATAGAGTCGTCAGGGTCTTTCTTGATGTTTCGAAGTGGTTTGGAAAATGAGAAGGATGTGTGCAAGTCCTATCCGTTCCCAACCGTTCTCTGCGCCTGTTTGCTGAGCTGACGTGCTGCCTACGACATGAGTCTAAGTCTAGAAAATCGAAAAGCAGTATCGCCGAATCCAGCAAGCCACATTCATTCCGATAAAGCTCGACGCTGTAAACTTGACCATGGCAAAGGCAGATGCGTTTGGTACAGCTCCAACAGCAGCAACTCCAGCCGGGAGCTCTGGGCCATTTCATTCTCTCCCTCTCTCTCTCCCCCTGTCTTTCTGTCTGCTGGTCTATTTGTCTGCCTGTCTGTCTGTCCGTCCGCCCATCCCTCCGTCTGTCTGTCTTTCTGGCTCTCTGCCCGCGTCTCTCCCTCGGACTTTCTGTCGCGCTTGCTCTTTCTCCCTGCTGCAGCTCCGTTCCGCCACTTGCGTGCACAGACACATGTCGTGTGCTTCCAACCCTACCTATTACTATTCACCGTCACGTTCATCCCCATGTAACTGTTCAGAAGTCAGTCACGCTCCTTTCTAGACGGTTTCGTACCCCTCTGCATATGCCGCGCCAAGAGGTAGCATCGAATGGAACAGGCAATCCTTTCTTGCTACTCGCTTGCCATCGCAACATACAGATCATCCAGCAACATGCGCAGCGAAACGACTCACTCGTAAACCCTAAGCTGATCTAAACCCCCAATCCCTTGCCCAATGTCCTAAACCCAGAACCCATCTAAACCCCGAACCCCTAGCCCTAGCCCAATGTCCCACTTCAGAGTGCTCTCGGCTCCTCCGAGGATGCAGCAGCAGCTCCGCCAGCAACAGCAGCAACAGCATCAGCAGCACCTGCTGCAGCAGTCTTTCCATGGAGGGGCGCAGGCTCATAATGCAGCCAGGCGTGGGCACCCCCTAAACCCTAAACCCTAAACCCTGAACCCGGAACCCTGAACCCTAAACCCACCCAGCTGCCAAAGAGAGTATTGACGCCTTGGGGTTTGGCAGGGTTCCAAGTTTGCGCTTCCTGCAGCCGAAAGCCCATGTCCTGGGTTAGTGCTGATTTCACAGCCTAGAGGAGGTATGTCTAGGCCACGCGCACGGCAATTCTTTACTGGTATCCATGTGTGCTATCTTTTGGTTGTAGTATTTCGCCACGACTATCAGACGGTGCTGCCATGGCTGTTAGCATGACTCATATGACTCATATGACCCTCGTGGTTAGAACGATCACAGGGGCTGCGGTGCTACTCATTCGGCTTCCTTTGCTCTCATGGCTGTCGCTCATACGTTGCCTGCGGATTCCTGGAACAAGTCATCGGAAGATGCGGGGCCCTGGCAAAGGACCTTAGATCGTGAAAAAAGACCATATCAAGGACCAAGGAGTGTTCAAATCTCCCGTCCATGAAAAAACATCACCGGATAGAGACCTAGCTGGTGTTGGATGGGTGTAATTCGTGCTGGATGACTGAATGAAAATAGTGACAAGTAGGAGTATAGAATTCACTGAAACGCTGACCATGATAGGTATAGTCATGTGGAGGTCGCATACTGGCATACTGCGCTGAGTGGTTATGACTCTCTCTGCTTGGAGTAGTCGCGCCACATGAAACCTTAGCCAGCAACTCTTCCGAGTTCACAGTGAGCATGCTTTCGCCTCATGTGCCTCCTGCTTCCGTCTCGCCGCAGGATGCGGCCGGATCGCTCACGTGGTCAGGAGGGTTCATCGGAGTGTCATCGGTTGTTGGGGCTTGCTGTCGGGATTAAAGTGTGTGAGGTATCGGAGTTTCGGGTCTCAAGGGTTTGGGCGTCAGCGTTGTTTGACTGTCAGTCGTTACTGTTGATATGGCTTCCGCAAGCATGAGTCTTGCCAATCTAACGTTACTCTTCCCGGCTCGGAGACGCCCCGCCAGGACAACAATAATAAGAAGCCAGTCTACAAGAGGGGGCCCGGATCCCGATCCATACGCTGAGTCCGGGTTACAGTGAAGGCCCTGTAGGTGGCAGCCATGGCCTGAAACCTCGCCTGTACCTCCAAGGCAGAGAGAGCGCCAAACCACTGTGATGCTGCGGAACCTGCCGCAGGGGTGCCCCGAGAGTCCTAGAGTCCTAGAGCTGCCCCTCGAGCCCTCTCGACGCGAGAAGTGCCCCTGGAGGTACAGTCGAGACATGCTTGTGGAGTTGATGAATCGAAATGGTTTCCACGCTTGCAGCAGCCCCGGAGCTCGAGCCGAAGAGAGGAGATCCACGCAACACAGTGCTCCGTCCGGCAATCGAGGTTTCGACTTCGTCTACATTCCGATCAATTTTCGATCTCAGGTGGCCTGGCTTTGAGCTGATGACAAGATGCAAATGCATGGGGCGTTCGCACAATGGGGTCCAGTCTTGGGCCTCTGAAAGAGTAAGGAAACCCTCGTCACAGAACCGCATGAATGCGCTGCAATGCATCCTTCACGAGTCACTAGTCGGTGCCCTCCTGCAGGCCATGTTTGGCTACGCTTTTGTCAACTTTGTGGATGAAGCCCAAGCCCTCCGAGCCCGAGATGACTTTGAAGGCCGGGGCATCAGTAGCCGGGGCTCAAGGTTCAGGTCGTTACCAGCATGAGAAGAAGGATGGCTGCTGTCATATACTACCAAGCCGTAGCAGGAGTAATGTGCATCCTACTCGTACCGCGAATATGCGCTCCTTGTGTTTCCGTGGGCCTGCACATCTTCCTGCATCTATCAGTTGCTGGAGCTGGCTACGACGGCTAGCATTAAGCTTCGAGTTTTTCGTGCCAACGTTGCGCAGAGCCAGGATTCACGAACTGGGGCGTGGAGACAGACAAGATTTGTGAAGTTTCTTGGAGCGATATGCACCAGGCTCGATGGGCTGTTGCAATGACTTGCTGCTGCTTCTCCTGCTACTGATCTCTACTCCTGCTGCTGCTGCTGCTGCGGCTGCTGCGTACAACAACAACAACTATTACTACTACCACCACCACTATGTATCCACTATGTACTACATGTACCAGTACTAGTACTCGTACTAGTGCTCGTGCTAGTCACCACTACTACTGCTGCTACTACTACTACGACGACGACTACTACTACTCCTACTCCTACTCCTACTACTCCTGACTCCTACTCCTATTACCACCACCACCACCACCACCGCCACCACCACCACCACCACCACCACCACCGCCACGACTACTACTACTACTACTACTACTACTACTACTACTAGTACCATTAGTACTACCATTACTACCGCTGCTACCACCACCACCCCACTACCACCACCACCACTACTACCATTGTTACCGTTACTACCATGACTACCAATAACACCATGACTACCATTACTACCACTACTATCACTACTACCACCACTACCACCACCATGACCACCACCACTACCACTACCACTACCACTACTACCATTGCTACCGTCACCACCATTACTACTACTGCTACTACTACTACTGCTGCTACTCCTACTGCTACTACTACTGCTGCTACTACTACTACTACTACTACCATTACTACCACCACTACCACCACTACTTCGACGTCGACTACTAATACCACCACTACTATCACTACTACCACTAACGTTACCAGCACTGCCACGGCTTTGATGGCTTGTACTAGTCCTTCTACGGGTGCATGCATTTTGAAGTTTTTTTGTTTCATCACCGCTTTCATTGCAACTCGCACGTACTCTTCTTCTGGCCTGTGCGACCCAGCAAAGCCAGGGCTTGATGGCCCATGTGAATCGCTATCGGAGTAGCAGCACAGCTGCAAGGATGTGGGAAAATTTCGTTTTTGGACTTCGGAGACACTGCATTCCGAGATGTAGTCGCCGAAGAAGAATGATCTCTGTCTGGCAAGCAGTGTGGGTAGTAGTCGCCTCTCTGCGCCGATTCTAAGCCTCTGACGTGCTGCTCTTCCACAGCCTGTGAGGTCCGGTCATGCATGAGTCTGTCCCAGACGAGTACAAGCCAGCTGTGTGGCCTGCTGAGATGCTGATATCGAAACAGTCCTGCTGTTGGTGTCGCTCGGGGATCGCAGTCAGAGAAGGCGTACGCCAGAAGGCTCTGCAGAATCAGCTGACTATTTGCACCTAGGTTTTCTCAGGGCAGACGAGTCGGGACCTCGATATTGCAATGCCCTTCAGTTCTGTTTCTCCTCCGCGACGTGTCCTGACTCTACACTTGCGCTCGATAGAAGTAGCATCGACAACATTCAGCGAGGTGAGCGGTAGTGGTAGTGGTAGTGGCAGTGGCCGTGGTAGTTGTGGTGGTGGTGATGGTGGTTGTGGTGATGCCGACGATGGTGGGCGATGCTGGTCCTGTGATGGGTGGCGCCGATGATCGCGACATCATGTTGAGCATGTTTGCATAATGCTGGCGGTATGTTGACGTTGGAAAGAGAGTCAAAAACCCTGAAGCCTAACCCCGGACCCGAAGTCACAGGTCCCCTTCCCGGCGCCAACGAAGCGCATCCGAGTGCCGCGCATTCGGCGAGGCCCAGAAGGCGACGAAAGCTTTCACGGTTTAGGGTTCAGGGTTCAGGGTTTAGGGTTTAGGTGCTTTTGCTTTCTTGGGCTTGGGAGCTTCTTTAAAGCCATTCGGCAGTTGGGTTTCAGGGTTCGTCACTTCCGGGTTTTGGGAAGGTCCGAGAGTCCGTGAAAGCATCTCTATGAGTAGCACAGGCTTCATATATCTTCGCGATTTTCATCCTCCAAAATCTTGCTGTTGTTGGTGGTGAACATGAAAGAAGACGTGCTTGTCTGTGTTGATGAAGCGTCAGTCTTTGAAATGCCGAGCTCTCCGAGAACTGCGAAACGTCGTGCAGGGTGTTGAAGCTTGTTGCAGGTGCGCAGGGAGAGGACGGTGACGATGGTGAAGGATCCGAAGGACGCCAGAGTTGGGGCATTCGGGGGGTTGCGAATTGTCGAGATGTTACCAGTTGCAGCAGAAGCAGCAGGCGGAGGCAACGGCAGTGGCAATGGCAGGAGGAGAAGTGAGTAGTGGGGTGGTGATGGCTAGAGAATAACAGCAATATGTACAACATCAATAAGAAGTTGTCTTGGAGTTGGAGTGTGTAGGAGCAACTGTTAGTAACAGGAGCAGGAGGAAGAGTATTCGTAGTAGCAGTAGACATGAGATGAATCACAGCCACCCTTGCAAGGCGGACGATAGCGCTGACATTTACGCATAAACTTTCGAACCCATGGCAGGCGTAAACTTTCGGTGAGGAACCCATGGCAGGCGGAAACGCATTGCCCCGACGTGGCAATCGAAGGCTGTAGATGAAAGTCCTCTTCCGGCTCCTCCTTGCATGAGGCTGTTCGGCTTCGCCTCTGATGCCTCTTTGCCTCATTTCCTTTGTATGTTCACATGTCGAGAGACCGCTCCCCGGGCCAGAATCATCCCATTCCACAGTCCCACGAAGCTCCATAGAATTCAGGAGATGACGATGGCCTTGCAGGAGTGGATGCGGCCGAGGGCAGCGAGCTCATCCTTTTCAAGACAGTAACATCAGCCAGGCAGTCTGCGCGTGCAACCGCAGCTGCGATTACAACTGCAACTCTACTGGCACCCAGACTCCGCAAACACCGCCTCAACAACAGCAACAAGTTTCTGATGATCAACTCGGTGGCGGCTGCTTCTACTGCCGTTGTGCTTAAGCATGCAGTGAAGCTGTTGTAGGCTGAGTAAAGCAATACACCTTCCGGTACTAAGGATGAGGGCCTTTTTGCGGCCTTCCGAGATCCCGCCGTGCCCGCCAATTTTAAGCTCCATCCACTGCAGATTCTGACTGCTGCTTGGTGGGTTTTCACAGTGAGCTCGATCACGGAAGCAGCCAAGGTGTGCAAGCGCAAAGCATGTCGTGTCCATGCTGTTTCCCGAGCCTTGATTGCCCAGCCCCCCTCAGAAAACCTGGGAATCTTTGGGACGCCTCAGTGGCGGCTTCCAAGCGATTGGTATCAGGGGGATGCACCAGGATGTTCCATGTATGACTGGGCTTAAATCCTTCGTGCAGCTTGAACATGCGTTAGCAGTTTGCAGTTCTTGAAAGGAAAGGCACTTGATGATACGCTGAGCACTAAAAGACTTCCAATCACCTCTCACTAGCCAGACAGAGATTTCAACAGGCAACAGTACATAAACTTTAATTCACGCTACATGAACACAGAAACGAACTTGGTCTTCTGCAAGCTAGAAGCACCAAACTTCGGTGCTGGTCCCAGGCCCCAAATTCTCCTCTCTGAGACAAAACCGAAATTTAGAGTCCCTTGGAAAAAGAACGACGCTTCAGATGCAGACCCCAGTGCTCGCACAGACATCCCGAGCTCGGCCTGTCGGCAGAGCCGACAGGCGGCTCGCGGAACGTCAACGGAGGTTCTGCTCTGGGTTTAGGGAGCCACTACTGTAGGGACTGTAGGGACGCCCCGGCTTTCGGACGCTCTTTTGTTTGGGCCTGGGCTGTTAGGGCTTCAGGCTCGAACTTTCTGGGACCTCCGACCTGACATCGCGACAGCATGGCCAGCCAGTTTGCAAGAAGAAAGGAGCCCAGGGTTGCTTCAGTCCAGCAAATCTGCTCCACGACGGGGGAAAGAGTATTGTCCGTCGTGTTGCTGAGCATCAGAATGGAGGCACTCGAACGATCTTGCCCTCTGAAGCCCTTTGGAAATAATTACATTATTATTCAATTAGTAATATATTTTCTTTCGATAGCTATATATAGTCTTTCATATTAGTATATTCTTAGTCTCGTTCGTAGTTATATTTAACGATTTCGTTTTTAATTAATATTTTCTACAACTATATTTTTTTTGCATTCTTTTTTATTTGAAAAAGGGTTTATTTTGGTTATAAATATAAGAAGATTTATTTTAGATTAATTTTTCGAATAATCTCGGAATGAATAATTTGATATATATTCAAGATTCTATTAATTTAATTTGAAAACCGAAAAAAAGCAATATTAAATAGAGAAATAATAATTTCATTAATATGGGATTATATATATATTGAAGAATTCTAGATAGATATTAGAAAGGAACTCTATATTTCTTCTTTCGATTTCATTAAAATTTCGAATTCCTCGAATATAATTGGTTCCACTACTATTCATAAGTCGACTAGATAAATAAATCGGTGCACTATATTTGGGGGTTTCCGAAAATAGGGGACCTTAATATAGTACCCTAAATAATAGGATCCTTATTATAAGGACCCCCAAATAAGGTACCCTAATTTTCGGAAACTCTCATTTCGAAGAGAATTATGAATACCATATTTATTCTCTTGTCGCATATAATGCAAGAAAAGATGACCACAAGGATTAAGTGCTTGGCCCCAATATGCACATCCCTCATTTTCTTGAAAGATCGGAATCCATAATCATATACTGATAAGATCTGAAAATATATCTTCGGAGAATAGCAAATTTCGTATGAGTGAGGGGGCATCTTGTCCCAGGCTCCAACTCCGGGTGCTGCCACTGCTCGCAACCTGGGCTATTGAGCCATCGTACTGCTCTGGAGGGGGCCTTAATGATCTCGTGAAGATTTTGAAGCATAGAAGTCTGATCAAGTGGAATGGAAGGCTTGGATAATTTTGCTCTATGAGCCAGATAAAAGAATAATAGATATTGGACCGTATCCCATTCGAAGATATCAGCAAGGACAAAATATCCCGAGATATATATAAAATCAATATTATGAAATAATATCTAGAATTCAAAAGTCCCAATCATCCGTATCGGATGGGTAATATAATCTAAAGCCATTATTGATGGGAAAGAATTATTCGAAGAGGCTCTCTATTAATTATTTATGAAATTATAATTGAGAGATGATATGAAATCTGGATCCTTAATTATATATTTTTATTAAATTATTAATTCTATTTTCTCTTTAGATGATATCTAATATTTATCGAAATAAAAAAATAAAAAGAATAAAATATAAAAGATTAATCTGATAATAATATATTGAAATTCTATTTGTAATAATAATAATAAGATATCGAAATAATCATACATATATATATATCTTTTTATATATTCGAAAAATATGCTTCTATTTTAGTATCTTATTTCTTGAAAATTATATTATAGAGGGAATCTTTTGATTTCCAGAACACTTCTCGATATTATAAGAATATAATTAAATTTTTCAGATATAAATATCGCTCTATGAATCTATATATAATTCTTTATATATCTTTAAATATATATCTTTAAATATCTAGATTTGATATATTTCTTAATGCTTCTTTAAATCTAAATTTTTCAATATTTATCTATATTATTATATTTATTTCTATTTATATTTCTATCTTTATTTCTATTTATTTTTATTATTGCTCATTTTTCTGATTATTATTTACAATAAAATTGAATTTTTAGAAGAATAAATTATATTTAGAAAATATTAGAGTTGACCCGCTGCTTCCATAGAATATACAACTTGGCAGTATTCCGGCAACGACAGCCCAAGATTGAAAATTTCTAAAAAATTTAGAGCGCCAGGTCTCAGCACGAAGGCGCAAATCTCGTGTAGCGGTGCAGCTACAGATATATTGATATCGAATTCTTATATATAGTTTTTCGGCGCCAAAAATAACCACGGATACTCGGAGATCTAATCATATATATTGATATCGACTCATGGCGCAAGAGGTAGCCTGCGATTATTCATTTCGGTTTTTACGGTAGCCATCCCAAAGACGAAGCCAAGCTTCAAATATCAACACCTTACGATAAATTATATCCAGAGTGCCATGCCGAAAGCAGAATTATAGGCAAAGGCACGATCTTATATCTATGTCGATTGCAACCTAATAATACAAGAGCCAACGGCAATCATCATATTAAGACTATTTCATAATAAACTACATTATATAGGAATTCATAGAATCCTTAACCGGAGCAAGTATCATTCAAGATTCGAATATGAATATAATAAAATAGCTAGAGATATAAATATAAATAAATAGAGAAAGATAAAGAGAGGAATCGAGAGAGAGAGGTAGAGAGCGAAAGAGAGAGAGAGAGAGGTAGAGAATGAGAGATAGCAGATAGAGAGAGAGATAGAAATAAAAAAAAAGATAGAGAGAGAGAGAGAGCGATACAAAGATAAAGAGACAGACAGATAGAGAGACAGACAGATAGAGCGACAGACAGATAAAGAGACAGAGAGACAGAGAATCAGAGAGATAGAGAGACAGAGAGATAGAGGGACAGAGGGACAGACGGAGGGAGGGAGGGAGGGAGGGAGGGAGGGACGGACCGACGGACAGACAGACAGACGGACAGACAGACAGACAGTGAATTTTCACGTGCAAGCGATGCTCCATAGCACTATATATGAAAATCCCTGTGATCGATAACCTACATGAATGGATGAGGCACGATATTCCAGTTAAAGACTACAAAATGGCTGTACCACATATTCTGCATTTGGAATATAAGATATTAGAAAGCCGGATTCGTTCTCTAAATTTTCGGTGTCTAAATATTTAGAAAACTTAGAGAAGGGATGACTGAAAATTTTCCGCAAATTTCG